TTGTTATGGTATGATATGTGGACTCATGAGTGATTTGGGTCACCCATAGTGTGGACGCATAGACTGTGTCTGTATTGAATCAATTGGAGGCAATCGACCCCAATCTCAATCCAATCCCAAATCTACTCCAATCTCAATGTCTTTTCGCAACTTATGGGTCATTAAGCGCTTTATAACCATAACTTTGAACTTCACATTCTTTAGCTATACTTTCGAGTAGTAGTCATATATTTGTCTTGTTTTTGTCATTTTCTCAGTTTTTTGCTCTCAATTTGTCGCTAATATAATAATACTTTTTAAATCTATTTATAAAATTAGTTCACTTTTTGCTCTTTTGTTATACAATTCATAATGAATTGATGACTACTATTATGACTATTGTTTGAAATGAGATTGTTTCTCGATATGATTTGAATAACTCAATGAATACATGAATAGATGTACAGTATATTGAGTAGTGATTGTGTGGTTATTATGTAATGATGTTAATGTGTGTCTTGTTGTCCATTGAACGACAGATCCATTCAATTGGAACGCTGAAGATGTTCGTAATTGGCTGCTGTGGACCCGAAGACAATTCAATTTACCAGACTTTCATTTGGAGTACTTCCAGATGGATGGCATGAGTCTGTGCTCTCTGAACGAGTCGGACTTCAAGCAAAGAGCCCCCCATTGCGGCGAAACACTGTACGCACAGCTCGACATCTGGAAGACAGGTATGTCATGTCATGTCATGTCCTGAGTGTCTCTCTAACCGCGTCTTAATGTGGGACTAATGGAGTGGTTGTGCTTTTGACTCGCTTTGCAATGTTAGCCTCAAGTCTCTCTCAATCTGTATCTATACCTGTATTTTGGGTGCTTTGCTATAAACGATTGCATTTATGTTTAGCCGTCGACTTTCGCCCCGAGGAAAGCATTCTCGAGTTGAGTTCATTACTAAACAGTTGGTCGTCATCGCCGCCGCCCTACTGTACGCCACCGCCATCTGATGCCTATACCAGTGCTGTGCCCTCTCCTGGCCAGGAGAGTATGGGCACAGATATGATGAGCACCGTATGTCTGTCTCCCGTATCGCCACCGATGTGCTCCTCGCCAATCATAACCGGTTACACAACTACTGGAGTGGGCTCTCCAGTGCTCGTCAGCTCTATAGAGAGCCCTACTATTGTTACCTCTGATTATGGTAGCGAAGGAACTCAAAGCGATGGTATGTATTACTGGTCTCTGTCTCTAATGTAATATCGCAACAGGTTTTCCGAAATGCTATGCTTTAGCTCTGCTTGTGCTCTGGCATTAAATGCCTCACCCATTGCCTCTGCAGGGCTTACTATCCACTGGAACTGCACATTAGCAACAGTAGCACTCATTGCTTTGGGCCATGTCTTGAGAAATGCTTTTTTATGCTTTAACTCACATTTGACGGCTTTGAAGGACGGACTCTAAACTGCAAATATTTTTCAGAGTTCTCACAACACCTCTCAGTTGTGTCTGTTTTTTGTTCTCCAATTCACAGACAAACCAATCGCTCTCTTCTCTCCATTCTCTCCCAATTTGACCCCTTTTTCCATACCATCTAATGTCTGAGCCGCTCAACAACCAAATTATTGTTTTCAACAAAAAAGTGCAATTATTTTGCACCAAATATACTATTCATTGCTTTCAAGCGAACCTTTATCTAATTCACTCTAAAGAGGTTTACTGTAATCACACCATTATTGACACAAACTCTCAAATGCAGTTTATATGCAGTTAATGATAGCAGTGATAAGACAACTGCTCTTTTAGAGTCAATTTAATCACAAAATAAAGTTTGTTTAGCATTGCTTTGCAATCATAGCAGCCATTACAGCATTACAGCGCTATTGCCATTAAATATTCACAAAAAGCATTTCCACAGCAATCAAAGCCCTAGAGATTGATTATTAGATTTGGCATTAATTAGCGAATAGTTATTTCAATACAATTATCCCTAAATTACAGACGACATCAGTGACGACGGGTGCGATTTGCCCACCACTACACACGTAGAGCAGTCACCCCCTCCCACCACTACCACCACCGGACGCACTGGTTCTGGATCTCACATCCACTTATGGCAATTCCTGAAGGAACTGCTATCACAGCCACAAATACACGGCAGTTGTATCCGATGGATGGATCGGCCGAAAGGGGTTTTCAAAATCGAGGACTCTGTACGTGTGGCCCGACTTTGGGGAAAGCGTAAGAACAGGCCGGCCATGAATTATGACAAACTGAGTCGCTCTATACGCCAGTACTATAAGAAGGGTATTATGAAAAAGACTGAGAGGTCTCAGCGTCTGGTCTACCAGTTCTGTCATCCCTATTGTCTTTAAATGAGATGATATGTTGACATAAAACACTCCCAAAGACTTTGGCCCCGAATTCGGTCTAAACTCAAGGCTTGTCCTATAGTTTATGCGGAATTCGCAATCATTACCATCGAAGAGCATATCGTAATATACTGTTAGTTAAACAGTAAATATATTGTTATTTATAGTAATCACGCTCTCGAGGAATGATATATACGGGAAGGTATTATTCCCGTCCCATTGTCTGCCACTTCATTCATCTCTCATTGTTTTAAAGACTTAAATAGTGTTCGACAGCATTGACTGTAAGACAATACTGGCGCTAATCTCCTCTTTTTCACACATTCCTCACTCGACATCTAAACTCTGTGTTCAATATGAAGAGTTATTTGTCTGATTGAAAACTTTATCAAATGGTCGGTAATTATGTCGAGAGCTCTCACACCTGGCATACAGTGATCCGGTGAAGTGACTGGTGCTGTAGGCAGCGGTGGAGTATCTCCATGTAGCGGCCATTTTGATGAATTATGTAACATATATCTATGATATATCCAATTGTATGTTCTGTGAACATCCTAACACCCGAATGATTGAAATATATTTCTTATGAAAATTACTTATAATTCTTTTTAAGAGTATTCAAAACCAAAACCTCATGTGAGGCACTGGCAAATCGATTCATTATTTAATATATTAGTATATTTCGTATCTTTAATAATCAATATTATTATTTTGTGTATCAATAATAATATTGCTATTTAGTATTTAATGTTATAATTATTCTATACCTTTTGAAATATAATTATATAAACTTTGAACCATTATATTGTTCTGCGATTATATTTAACTGTTTTTACGTTTCGATAATATTTTTGTATTTTATTATTCAAACGCTTATTATTTATCATTTTCTTCTCCAATAATCACATTCTTATCACTTAAGCGTTGAATTTCTTTTGAAGATATCTTTTATTTTTCTTTATATTACATATATTTATAATACTATAGTTAATGGTATTCAATCCAATTGTATTACTGTTTGAAGTAATCTTTTATTTCTATATTTCTTTGTACTCAAAAATATTTTTATATTAAAGCCTTAAAGCAAGTTGTCGTTTATTTATGCCATTGTATGTAATTTACGTGAAAATCCCAGCAAATTAATGTATTATAAAATTATTATATGATTACAAAGTTATTATTGAAAAACTTATATCTTTTATATATTTTTCCTAAAAATATCGTTTTTTGTACTTTTATTGCAGTTACTTCTTCATTATATAACAGTTACTGTATTTTCCATATCGTTGTGAATAAAAGTTAATTAAAAAACGTTTAATTCATTGGAATTTATTGAATATTTTCACAAATTATGTCAAGCTATGCATGAATTGATTGCAATAATGACTGCATTTTTGTAGATCACAGAAAGAAAGGTTGAGTTTGTGGTCAAATACATACAAATGATTGGGAAAGCGATACAATCAGAGTATATGCAGCTGTCAGTGCCTATGCCTGTGCTGTGACTTTCACTTCTATACCACTAATGACAATAAACTTCCCCTCGTTTTATCACAAATGCATTACATATTACCAGTTATTAAATATAGAGAAAGAATGGTCACAAAAAGTAATTATTGTAGCGAATCATGTATTAAAAAATACAACAAAATAGTGTTTATAGTGTATAGGAAACAGACGCCCCGGTATTGCCAGCGCTCATAATTAGTAAGACATAAGAGTTAACAACTAATTCATGCGAAATGATTTGCAATTTCGCTTTTCTACTTTCAAATTGTGTTTTGCTTTTCAAATAACAATAATTTGTTTTTTACATTTTTTTTGTCTATTTTATAGCGAGTGATGAGAAAAATAAAGAGGAATTAGAAAAAATTATTTTCAGTCTGTTTTTCATCTATACTGTGAAACTTGTTTTTCATTTGAAAGCATTTATTAAATTATAAAATATATGTATAGAGTTTTTGTGAGAATATATTTCAACGACAAATGATATAATTATTTGTTTGGATTGCAAACACAAACATTGCCTGAATAATAGAGCATAAAATCTCTCTCTCTCTCTCTCTCTCTCTCTCTCTCTCTCACACAAAGCTATAGAAAACTTCTTCAAATTCTTTCTCTATTTTCTTTGCAAATCAAATAAAATTTAATGTGAAAAGAGAGAGAAAATAATTTTGTCAATTAAGAAGACTTTTATGTGATATGATTTGAGCGCAAAATCATTATAGCGTTCAAAAAGGTTTCTACATTGAAGTGAATGTAGAAAATGGAAAGAAATTAAAAGAATAAATAAATTATAGATTTATATAATTATGTATAGATGTATAGTATATACTGTACTATAGTAAAGAAAACTAGTTTTCTTCACCAACCGTTCACTTGATATGAAAATGCTATTTAGAAAAGGAATTCCCGACAAAATCTATTCTCAAATAATGATTACATAATAGACTTAATAACACATTCGGATAATACAAAGAAAATATCATTTTTTATACAATCTGTGAAAATCATTCAACATATAGAGTCTCTCAACTCATGACAATCTGTTGGCTAAATTTGCCGAGTCTTCAAAATACATATAATTTATTGTTTATTATATTATATATTCTCCATTCAAAAGTCATATGAGTTTTCAAAATCGATTCTTAATATGAGATTCAATTCAATTATTAATATATTTGAAGAATAAATCAATTGAAGGTCTTTTAGACAATATGTTTGCATTAAAGTCTATCACATTATGTGATAGTATGGCTTAGTTGACGATAAATAATAATATGTGTTCATCAATGCTATGGTAGTGAAGGATACACAGTGTGTATAGTTATGTTAGTTATGTAATACTTGTATAATCATTATGTCTGTCAATATCGGCTTTTAAATATGTATTTATTATTTTATATTAATTTTGGTAATTCAATTACATTTACTTCTAAAATTTTGTCAACTGGTAACTAAGTTATGGTTAAATTGCTTGTACGACAATAGCTTGTGTTACTGTACCGCTCCCTAATCCATTCAATCATATATCAATAAAAACGATTTTATTATATTTCAATTTATGATTGCAATACTGAGTTATGTTGTCGTTATGCTAATACACAATACAGTATATTCTCAGAAGTTTTACCCCATTAAGCATTTTGTAGTAATTTATGTTCAAATACAGTAATTATTATAATAAATTTAATGAATTAATTGCATAAAATTAATAATAATTACATTAGCCATTACATAAAACTAAGAAATATTTACTATTGAATATATTAAAATAAATAAACATTCATTAATAAAAACAGTATACAATTATGAAATGTATAATATTCTGTAGTCATTACAACTTGTATAATTAATATCTGGTATCACTTGAAATGATTTGGTAATTATTATTAAATATACTTGTGAAACAATTTAGTATTAAATAATAAAAACTACAATAAAATTTTATTTATTTGCCTATAAAATTGTTTTAATACTTGGTATTTGTTCATATATTTAAAGGGTTAGAACATAGGCTACAGGTGTGACTCAACCTCTACAGAATTTTATTAAAATTGTTTATAAGTGTAGTACCGGTAAAGACCAATTGGATTAATTTTTAAAGCATTTGATAATAATTTTTAAGATTATTCAACATTATTTCAAAAATATATACAGAACAATATATGTCTTTATCATATTTTAGTACCTTTATTATAATATATTTTTCCATAATATCTTCAAAAACAGTTAATATCTTCATTGAAACGAAAGTATGATTTGTATTGAAAGACATTTACTTGTTTGAAGATTAGATTAAACAATCAAATGTACATAAAATACAGCTCTTTCTGAGAAGCGAGTGATAAATATTGCAAAATATTTATCTTAATATTTATAAAATTGTGACTCAAAAGAGTTATTATATAAGTGTTTTTACGAATTGTTTTTAATTTAAAAAAAATACAAATAAACTCAACATTTAAAGGTATAATAAATTGAAATAAAAGCGCATAAAATCACATAAAAAATAATTAATAAAAACTATAATTAGAATATTTATTACATAACTCATGGTTTGCAATCAATTCATTAATATTGTATAACTGATGAACACAAGTAATAATTTATAGGTAACGGCGCTTCGGTGGGCTCAGACATGTTGCTTTAAATGATATAAGGGTTTGTCGACTATTAAGCCATAGATATTAGCAAATGAATAAACATAGCGGAGAGGACAGGGAGGACAGGTACCAGAGCTGGTTATAGACTACCCGTTCGATCCGCGCATCCATTTAGTGATTAATTATGAAAATTTTCTCTTATTTTAGATTTACATAAATTAATGAATTTTATATATATTTATTAAAACAACAAAATGCTAATGCAATTGATATTTAATTAATAAGATGTTAAAGAAATTAATTTATTTTCTTATGAGTCAATCAACAAAAACAAATTTAAGGCAAAATAATCGATGATTTCTATGCGAGAAATGCCTTTTAATATATTCTTGTATGCATTTTAGTTAGCATTCATTTTTGTAAATGGATTGTAAGTATTCATTGCTACTATATTTTACGAATAAAATTGTATATTTGACTTTTAAAATAATTGTATGTACCCAACAAATTATAAATAAAATAATTGAAATTAAATTAATTAAAATTTGTGGAATTTTTTGACATATAAATGAAATATAAAAATTAATTATTATAGCTACAAGGACGTTGATAAATATCTAACTTTATAATTTTTAACAATTGAATAGTTGTCTGATTTAAGACAACACTTCTAAAATATTACAGAAATGTTTTCACATTTAAATTAGTAAATGAATATCTTAAAATAAAGCCAAATGCATTTCATATGAATTGTTTAGATTTACCCTACTCAGGGGAATGGCTGATAAATATAATATACTGTATAAATGTATTATTCTATGCCTTAAAATAATGCAAATCAACTTAATTTTGCACTTTAAAAATAAGTTAGAAATCTTTGTTCAAATAAAACTGTGCTATTGTGTGTTTAACCGATTAAAGTCGTAGAGTATACAGAATTCACTACTGTACAGATATTTACTATATTAATTTAATTAGTCATGATTACATTTAATTTCAATATATTTCTTTCGAAATAATGACATTAAAATGTACTTTTAAAAATATATTAAAATTCATATTATTCAAATAGTTACTAATGAAATAATATAAATCTATAAAATTACTAAATTTGAAAAATAGCGCTTTTGATGGCACTTGTATATAATGGGTGCTAATATCGTGTGTTGGCACAGATATACCACAGAACCTAAGGCAGGACCTAAGCATTCAATTCTTATAGTGTACTGAATATAAATGTACTCTGATCATATCAAATACTTATTTAAGCCAACATTAGTCTGAATTTGAATATTAGTTTCATTTAGCAAACCAGAGAAACATAAATATTGCAATCAATGGATCGTTGGGTAGGAAGAGTGGCTTTGGTTACGGGATCTTCTGTGGGAATCGGAAGGGCTATCAGTGCCAGTCTTGTTGAGCACGGACTCAAAGTTGTTGGATGTGCTCGTAATATAAATCAGGTCTTTGTTGTCATTTATTATTAGACATTCATTTATTACAAACAAAAATATAATAGTATTTGGTTTCATAATGGCTGAATAAATAATAAGAATGAACCTAGATACTATATAAATAATAATCAGAAAATTAAAACCAATAATTATATTGACGCCAAAAGCTCAATGAATTGGAGGCAGAGTTGAGTGCAAAGAAACTAAAGGGAAGTTTCAAAGGAATCAAATGTGATCTGAGGAGGGAATCGGACATCAAATCAATGTTCGAAGAAATCAAATCCACGTTCGGAAGGATCGACATCTGTATCAATAACGCCGGTATGAATGGCTTCTCACGAACCACTTAATGTGAAAAGTAATCAATTGCTGTATCGATGGGACGGTTAGGTCTGGCAAAGGACGCGCCGCTCATCTCTGGTGACACAGAATTCTGGAGAGAGATGTTAGACGTGAATGTGACGGCACTGTCCATCTGTACCCGCGAGTCCATACAACTGATGCAAACTAACAATATAAGTGATGGCCATATAATACACGTGAGCAGTATGTCTGGGCACCGGATCGTCCCCTCATCCGCCACTCACTTCTACGGCGCCACTAAATTCGCTGTCAGAGCGCTGGCGGAAGGCCTGCGACAAGAGCTCAGAGCTATTAATAGCGGTATAAGAATAACACTCGTCAGCCCCGGTATGGTTGAGACAGAGTTTGCCGTAAGACTGACCAACAGTAAAGAGAAAGGTTTTGATCCCTACGCCGACACACCGTGTATTAAAGCCGAAGACATCTCTCAGATTGTCGTAAATATACTTCAAATGCCGGCACACGTCGAGATCAATGATGTCTTAGTTAGACCCACATTTCAGACCAGTTAATGCAATTCAAAATGGATTAATTGTACATCAATTCAAATGCTTTGATTTGAAATGATACGAATTTATTTGTTTATAAAACAAAATATAACCAAAAAATAAAGTAATAATTTTAAATCACATGATAATGTATATAAAATCCATAATTTATAAGATATAAAGCATTTAATATGAAATCAACGCCGCTGTTGATTAAGTCGTTTCTTGTGAGCCAAATATCGTTGCCTCTCCTCCTCCTCTTTGCGCTCTTCCTCCAAGTCCTCCAAGAGTCCAATCTTAGCACTCCTTACGTCTTCTTTCATACACTCAGCAAAACTCGACTCTTCGATGTCGTCGTCATCGATGTTACGATACTTTCGCTTATCATAGCCAAAGATCTCGCGAATAGCGCTCGAGTACTCATTGTCTTCGACCTCAGCGGGTCCGTCGTCTATGAAGTCGGCCATATCGTCGTCGTCCTCCTCCTCTTCATAATCTTCGTCCATATACTCGGACACGTCTTCATACATTCCGCGCCGGTATGTGCTGCCAATGGGCGGCAGTTTAGGCATTGGAGGCATTTGTCTGCGCGGCGGCGGTGGAGGCGACGGAGGTCTCGCTCTTTCGTTACTTCTTTTGTTGACCTCTTTATAAGTATTTAATTGTAATCTCTCTTTGGAAGCGTTGGA